AGGACATAACTCTGTCAAGGTTTTTGACAGAATTATGCCCCTTTTTGACTTAGAAAATACATTGAATATGGGTAAAATCCACTTATTGCCTTAACCCTTTGAGATATTGCTTTGAAACTTTTAATGCTATTTCACATCATTACCCCCATCTGTACGCAAGAGAAGGTAACTCTGTCAAGGATTTGTTTTAAAAATTAAGGCCTTTTATCGACTTAGAATCTTGGTTAAGTTTTTAGTACCAGTCCACTTTTTGACTGAACTGTTTGAGATATTAATTTGAAAGTTGGAATACTTGTTTACCATCATGGTCCCAAAACATGGGCAGGAGAAGGTAATTCTGTTAAGGATTTTATTTGAATTATGGCCCTTTTTGACTTAGAAACTCAGTTAAGATTTTCATTCTTGTCCACTTGTTGACTTAACCATTTGAGATATTACTTTGGAAGTTGGAGTTCTTATGTGCCATCATGAGACCTATCTGTAAGCAAGAGAAGATAACTCTGTGAAAATGTTTCTTGATTTGTACTTAGAAATTCCTAGTTAAAGTCTTGTGTGCCCTTAACTGTCAAAGTTTTGTTTTATAGGCAAGCACTAAAACAGTCGAGCGCGCTGTCCTTCTGACAGCTCTTGTTCTTTATAATGTATAAAATCTTCATTTAGAAACACAAGTTTGCATATTCAATATTGTTTTAGGTTATTTATATTAAAAATGCCATAAAGGTAGCCTCAACAGTATGAATAGGCTAGTTGTACGTAACTCACATATTTTTCGCGAGGAAGTCACTTCTTCCTAAAATTTCCCCCTGGATGAGCCCTCAGGCCTGTACGAAATTTTGGCACGGATTCTGGGAGGAATTGGCACGGAATTGGCACGGAATCAGTGATTTCTGGGCGGACCAGGGACGGAAACGCAAAATCCGTGCCATTCTGTCTCACAAGAAAAATATTTTGCTCACTTTTCTGGGCGGAAAACTAGAAAAATTCCGGCTGGAATTTCATTTTGAGCAGAATTTATACTTAAACATTTGATCTTGGACAGAATTTTCAACTTTGAATTTTTTTTGGGTAGGAATAGTCTTCACTATGGGCGGAATTCTATACTTAAACATTTTTCTTGAACAGAATTTCGCATATAAGATGTCCAAATCATAATAATTTATTGTACTCCTGTTTTTGCACTTGCAGACATTGAAATTTTACCTACTGTACTTATTTTTTTTGCTGAACCAATAATTACAGGTGTATTTTTAGAATAAATATATTATTTTTTTAGACATTAAAATAGGCCTTCTTTTTAGATAAAAATGTGGCATTAAATAATATATTGTCAGACTAATTTATATTTTTTGTACTGAAAAACAACTGTAATAATCTTAGTGTAGAATTTGAAAACATTCACCTCCAAAATGCTTAAGTTTATAATATAAAGATTTTTCATACAGCTTGTATTATAATACATTTACTGTATTATGAATTTTAAATATGATTTTAGGACATCATCTAAAAGCAACATTAAAATAAGAATGCTTTTTAAATTTGAATATACTATAGAATATAGGGCAGTCACATAGGGACAAGATTATAAGTGTGCTTGCCATTTTAAATTCTAAGAATTCATGATTTTGTTATAAAAAATATAAACAAAACAAAACAGTGCATGAAATAATCTCATATATAATGCCCTTTTAATCTATATAAAATTGATCAACCAATATGCCCAATAATTGCTTTTATTTACCGTAGGTTAAAATAAATACTACAATGTATATTCTCACTGAGATTATATTCACCCAGATTTTACACTACACAGATCAGAGCTCTGATAAAACTCTACTGACCAGCAGTTTCCCATCATCTACGCATGACTGGTCATTCCAACAGATCAGGCTGTTCCATGTATTTATTTTGGGGAGAGATTACATTATAAATTGCATATGTAGAATTTGTCTAGGACATATTGCAATTTTTTTGTACAAAAATTTGTAATTGTTTTTTAAAACTTATATATATCTATTTGTTATTTGATTTTTCTTTTACATTCAATGAATGAAAGTTAAGATGATGAGTAAATTAACCCTGTTTTACATAATGATGGACCGGTCCATTATACAGCTAGTAAACTGTTGTGAATTTTGAATTCTAAGATATCTGGGTCAGCAAAAAGAGTGGAGGGTGTACTTGATATTTTAACAATTTTGGAGTAAAGTTTTGTTTAAGATCTCAAAGTGTTAAAGTAATTGGTATGATAACATGGGACAAGGAGATGTATAACATAATCAGGTAATTATTAACTTTTAGTTACATTAATTTTATATGACGACTATCAATACTTAGTAAGCCAACTAAAATTTGTAACAAGAGGTCATTGTTGTTTTAGTATTTTCAACTTCATACATTTGTTTTTTTTTCTGATAATTGTTTTAAATCTTTAATACATGTATAATTTGCAAGTTAAAATTATTCAATGATTTTTTTGTTAATATAATGGTTGTGTAAATCTATATTGTATAAATAGCATGTAAGTATATCTTTTGCATTTCCTGGAAATTAAACAAGTTAAATAAATTTGATTAAATAGGACTAAATGGTACAATCAGTAGTTTTGTACAGTTGAACAGGGTCATCATAATCATTTATTATTTTACATGTTTGTGTTGTCTTTCCTATGGAACAATCTAAAATTACATTTTACACTCATAATTTGCAGGCTGCTCAGGGACTAAGTGCTGACTGTGAGATGCCAGGTGTTTAATAATGATGTGCAGTATTAATCCTGGAAAGGTATATTTTTAAATCTCTATACTTAACTATTCAACATCTTTCCTTGAAAAATACATAACCAGTATTAAATAGTGTCACACATAAAGCAGTCAGTTAATTCTTATACAGAGCAATTCTTAAACACTTGTACACTTGAATAACTGATTCTGTGTTGCTTTACTATTTTTGAATAATTATGCTTTATAAGCATAGTTAATATTTAATACTGTTGAAACATAAAATTTGATATTATTAAAAAATATAACATATAACTGCATATAATTATGCAATAAAACATAATTGAGCCATGTCATGACAAAACCAACATAATGGGTTTGCGACCAGCATGGATCCAGACCAGCCTGCGCCTCAGCGCAGTCTTATCAGGATCCATGCTGTTCGCTATCAGTTTCTCTACTTGTAATAGGGATTGTAAGCGAACAGCATGGATCCTGATGAGACCGCGCGGATGCGCAGGCTGGTCTGGATCCATGCTGGTCGCAAACCCATTATGTTGGTTTTGTCATGACATGGCTCAATTCATTACAAAATATTTGTTTAATTAATTATGAATTTTATTATTAAAGGTGAGCACAACCACAAGAAGTTCTAGGAAACACAGGCAGTGGACTTAAAACAGACATGGATTAAAGAAATAGTAATTTAAATAATAAGAAACATTTGAAACAAATTTATGATTGAAACACTTCCAGCAAAATAATTGCAAAAAAAAACAAACAAAGTGTTTTATAGCAATACGGGCCGGTACGGCTAGCCACTGGCTTATATATAGTACCTTTAAATATCCCTTTTATTTTGACATTGAGTGACAGAGCCGTGAGGGTCCGTTTTAAAGATGTCATTTCATACACCGCTTTCATTTTCACTCAACACTCAACAACTAATATTTAAATCTGAAATGTTGCGATTGTTCATTCTGGGAATACCCTGCCTATTAACATTGAAAGCCCGACTAGGACTGACGCTGAAAATTTCATTGATAGGGCCAAAACATCATTTTTGGGGAAGAGGCCTCAGCCTTATTCTTGGGGAAAATATACGTGATTTTGGCATACTTTCGGAAAAGGGGTCTCAAATTTAACACAAACTTTTAACAGATTCTTCAAAATAGAAAAGCATTGGGAAATACTAATAAGGCAGTAAAAGACCTTTATTCAACACCATCATTTAATTTTGTTCTAAATTCTATGGGACAGTAAAACAAACTAGGGAGTTAATTGAGGACCAGGCTGGGGAAAAAAAGAGGCTTAGGTTTGGTTGGGAAAGCAGCCTATATTCGGCCTGTTCAAAAGGTTTGTTTTTTTGGCCCTGATAGTATAAATTCTATATTATATTCTTTAATTGATTGTTTATTTGATTTTCTTTTAAATATACATTTGTAGTCTATAGCCGGGCAAGCCAAAGCCCGGGCCTGCTTCACTATCCTGGCCTTTGACTTCCCGGTATAAAACATATTTGCTGAAGATTCTTTACCTAGGCATGGTCAGCACCCCCACTATTTTAGCAGTCAACATACTTGTATATTTCTGTCTTTTGTCCATAAATGCTAGAAATTTTGTTAGATTCTTCAATTAAATGTACATTTGTATTTGTATAGAAAATATTTGTTCTGTTAAACCTGCAATGCCTTTAAAAGATATCAAAGTCTCTACACCTAACTGTACCAGGTAAATTACATAAAATATAAAAATGATAGGCAAAAATATTGTTGCACACAAAAACAATAACAAAAGCATTGTATTTTACTTATAAATTTACAAAATCAGGATATACAACAGTCACTGTCAGCCATTATATGCTAATTAGTGGATGGGATAATATGACAATGAGTAATTGCTATTAGCCTTGAAAAATCAATAAAATCTTACATGGGAGCCAGACTGGCTATTGGAATATTGAAAATATTATGATTTTATCTATTGGAATTTGCACATTTTCTTACCTCATATCTGTAAGGGCTTGCAGCCAAATTTCTGTATCAAAGTAATATGCAAATTATCAATCAAGAAAAGACATAGAAGATGAAAGGGCCTTCTAAGTTGAACCCAAGTGTTTATAGGAACTAAAAATTTGCATTTGATTTCCATTGATGATGTACTTTTTGATATAAAAACAAATATAGATATCATATGTTTAGAGTCTTTAGGAATTCATTTAATTTATTTATAGCTGGAATTGGGTGAAAAACATTTCAACGCTTACCTTTTTAGCTCGACTATTCGATAAGAATAAGTAGAGCTATTGTAGTCACCCGAGCGTCGGCGTAACCACTTAATACGTTAAAGTTTTGTAATACCTCAAATATTTTCAAAGTCCATTGACATATGGCTTTGAAACTTTGCACACTTGTTCACCATCATGACCCCAACCTGTAGACAGGGGAAGGTAACTCTATCAAGCATTTTGACAGAATTATTCCCCTTTTTCAACTTAGAATTTACGTTAAAGTTTTTGTAATACCTCAAATATTTTCAAAGTCCATTGACATATGGCCTTAAAAATTTGCATGTACTTGTTGACCGTCATGACCCCAACCTGTTAACAGGAGGAGGTAACTCTATCAAGCATTTTGACAGAATTATGCCCCTTTTTTGACTTAGAATTTAAGTTTTTAAAGTTTTTGTAATACATCAAATATTTTCAAAGTTCATTGACATAAGGCTTTGAAACATGTTGAAATTGTATACTCTTCTTTAGAGCATAATAGGACTCTCTCCAAGGCCTTTAATCAAAGAAATATTTTGCCTTTTTCTTTACTGAGAAAATTTTACCTTTTAATGAAGGCTTTTTTATATGCCCGAAAGAATTTCGGACATATTATGTTATACCCCCTGGCGTCTGTCCGTCCGTCTGTCCGTCCGTTAGCAATTTGGTTTCCGGAGCATAACTGAAGTTCCATTTGGCCCACAATATTCAAACTTCATAGGATGATTGTCCATATTGGGTAGAAGACCCCTATTGATTTTGGGGTCATAAGGTCAAAGGTCAAGGTCACTTTGACCTTAAAACTGAAAACGTTAGCAATTTGGTTTCCGGAGCATAACTTAAGTTCCATTTGGCCCACAATATTCAAACTCCATAGGATGATTGTCCATATTGGGTAGAAGACCCCTATTGATTTTGGGGTCACAAAGTCAAAGGTCAAGGTCACTATGACCTTAAAACTGAAAACAGTTTTTGGAGCATAACTTAAGTTCCATTTGGCCCACAGTGTTCAAACTTCATAGGATGATTGTCCATATTTGGTAGAAGACCCCTATTGATTTTGGGGTCACAAGGTCAAAGGTCAAGGTCACTATGACCTTAAAACTGAAAACAGTTTCCGGAGCATAACTTAAGTTCCATTTGTCCTACAGTGTTCAAACTTCATAGGATGATTGTCCATATTTGGTAGAAGACCCCTCTAGATTTTGGGGTCATAAGGTCAAAGGTCAAGGTCACTATTACCTTAAAACTGAAAACAGTTTCCGGAGCATAACTTAAGTTCCATTTGGCCCACAGTGTTCAAACTTCATAGGATGATTGACGATATTGGGTAGAAGACCCCTATTGATTTTGGGGTCACAAGGTCAAAGGTCAAGGTCACTATTACTTAGAAATTGAAAACAGTTTCTTGAGCATAACTTTAGTTCCATTTAGCCCACAATATTCAAAAATTTCATAGTATGATTGTCCATATTGGATAAAAGACCCCTAATGATTTTGGGGTCACAAGGTCAAAGGTCAAGGTCACTTTTACCTTAGAATTGAAAACAGTTTCTGGGACATAACTTAAAGTTCCATTTGGACCACAATATTGAAACTTCAAAGGAGGATTGTTATTTGAAGGAGGTAATACTTTATTTTAGTCCCATGTCTTACAAATGCTTCATCTTTACTAAAAAAAAAACACACTTTCGGGCATATAATGCTCCGCCTAGCGGTGCTCTTGTTTACTATCAAGCACTAAGAATAGTCGAGCATTGCTGTCCTACTGACAGCTCTTGTTTTTAGTCATTTTCAATATCAAAATTATCAAACAGAATGTGAAATTTCGCATGCAAATTATTGGTTCTGACTTTATTAATAGTAACATCATAGTGTACATCATTGAATCTCCAAAACAAAATTGCAGGACTCAAAACAAATTCATGTAAATACAAGATGATATTTACAATGGACATTTTTTGTCATTTTCTATAGAAGCCCATTTATAAAAGATGGAATAGACATACATTGCAGAATTTTTAGTGAATTGTCAGTTAACTAAAGTGAGGTTATTTTCTTTTCACTTTTAGAGAAAGCCAAGTTGAACTACGCCAGCAAATTGACAGCTTAGCTGGAGGTAAGAGTAATAATGTTTGGGTGTAAGTTTTCATTTTTTAAGTATTTTATATGTAAACAATCTCAGTTAACATAAAAGCTGTCATAGGTTTTGTATAGCAGATAGAATGCTATGTAGACCACAGGAACTTGAAATTCTATCAATATTAATCTGTTAATGATAATATCCAAAACATACCCCCTATATAGTATAAATAATTTATACTGTTTAGGGGGTACATTTTGGATATTATCATTTAAATATTGATAGAATTTCAAGTTCCTGTGTGTAGACTAACTGACTTACTGTTAAGAAAAATGTATGTTTGATATACATGTGATTCAAAATAAACAGTAAGTTTCTTGAACTATATAAACTGAATATCTGATGAAAAATTAAACAGAAGTTTTAAAAAACAATGAAATTACCGTAAAATTCCTAAAAAATGCCCCATCCCATAATAATAAAGCCCCCACCCCTGGTTTTTTATTTGGAAGAAATCTACTCATCAGTGATGAAATCCTGAGTTAATCCATAATTTCTATTCAAATCACTCAGAATGCTACACTGTCACATGGAATAATTGATACACATTTGTTAAAATATGTAAAAGTTACTCCTACTCCAAAAGTATTTGTGTGACTGGCTAATTATATGAATAGGAAAATACTAATCACAGTCAGATCAAAGTAAATAGAGCATTGAAATAATCAAGTGTGCATGCCATCTTTCTGAATTTTGTTTTATTTTCAGTAAAACAAAATATTCGACTAAGTTGGGATATGTAGACAAAAGCCCCAGTTTCAAGGCCCCCATTGAAAAAACCCTGCTTATATTTGTTATATCTCTTGTGTTGTGCAAAACTAGATATGTTCCCACTTGGTTATATACCTGCTGAATGTTTATGGTTTCTGTATGATTTTATATTGGTTATATCTCCTGTGTTGTGCAAAACTAGATATGTTCCCACTTGGTTATATACCTGCTGAATGTTTATGGTTTATGTATATTTTATATTGGTTATATCTTCAGTGTAGTGCAAAACTAAATATGTTCCCACTTGGTTATATACCTGCTGAATGTTTATGGTTTATGTATATTTTATATTGGTTATATCTTCAGTGTAGTGCAAAACTAAATATGTTCCCACTTGGTTATATACCTGCTGAATGTTTATGGTTTCTGTATATTGTATATTGGTTATATCTCCTGTGTTGTACAAAACTAGATATGTTCCCGCTTGGTGATATACCTGCTAAATGTTTGTGATTTATGTATATTTTATACTATCAGATAGTATCTCTAGATGTAAATTTGCTGCTAAAGTTTTTTTCTTAAATTTTTATCTAGAGTTGTATAGCTTTAAAGCATGTGACATTAATGAATTATTATATGGTTGCTTTTCAGATTTGCAGGTAATATCCGATAGCCAGACTATATCAGTAGACTTGGAATCACATGTGAAAAAAGTTAAACAATTCAAGAAGGCGTGTTATGTTAGTCAATAATATTTTACAAAATGTTCAGGTAAGAGTGACTTATAATCTTCTAGAATATTTTAACTTTTGATACTGCCTTAGTGCTGTCATGCATTTTAGCCTAAGTTAATAAAAGATACTAGTAGTAGTAACTCAACCCGTTGCTTTCTGACACGGGATTTCGCTTTTTCATATATTTATTTATAATATGACTGTATAAAGAGGATATTGAATGAGTGTAGGTTTAATGCTAAAGTTATTGAACAAGTTGAATAAAATCATATTGTATAGTTTTTTGAACGTTTTCAATAAATTTAGTATGAATCTACAATTCTTCACAAATATTATAAATATTCTATTTATCACATATAAAATAAGAATGGTAAACTGATAAAAAGCGCCTATAGTGTAATGCTTTCATTAGCGCGCTTAAACGCTATGTTTATATTTAGCACAAATGACGTCACATCAAAGAGTATTTACACTAGTGTAATATCGTTTTTATTTAATGGCTTTATTACACTCCTGTGCTGTGTTTTATATGATAAAAAGAAATAAGTATTGAAAACAACCAGCATCATGTGATTAATATATATGCTTGATACATTTGTTACTATATATAGAAAAAAAATTCACAATGATAAATTTTTTATTGGTTCTGAGTGTAAGTGATGGTTTAAAAGTTTATTGGGGCATTAATGGCTAGAAAATCATAGCTGAACATAGGCAAGTGCAAAAATGATTTGCAAAATCATAATCAGTCTGCTAAATAAGTGCAAAAATAATCAAATGTGACATGTAAGTTGACATCCTCAAAACAGGCTGGCTGGAAAGTAAAAGTGGGCTTTATAGTCAGGATGGCTTGATTTTGAGAGATAAAGCACTTGCAAATTGATTCTACTGGAATTTGTATCTATGAAGGGAAGCAACTCTGTCTTATCTTTAGAGGGCTCTGGAGTATATATCAAAAGTTATTGTAAAATGTATTTCAACTATTGAATACATTGATACTTGTTAGAGTTGGGCTGAAAGTGACAATTGGCCCTCAATAAATATTGACCCTCTGGCTAAAGCCCTCAGGCCTTTACTTATTTAGGTGGCTGATTTTCACCTTCCTGTCCTACACTTTGTATATAAACCTCTTATATGTTAAATCTCATAATTTGATATCCTTTGTTTTTTGTAGGAGAGATTGACCAAATTATATAACAATGTTTCTCGTGAGACTGCTAGACGGAAAGTATTACTAGATCCACCAGGGGCAGGCAGACCAAAATAAGCCATTGAACGCCATTCTTCCATGCTTATAAATTAATATGTGATATTCATTCCATGAAACTGTTTATCAATGTGCAATTTTCTTTATTGTTGATAAAGAAATTACAAATTATCATTAAGAGGGGTAAAGATATTTTATGCTTAAAGTGTTGTTAAGGTTGTATATTCCGAGTGATAATTATGGTATTGTTAAGATATTACAAATCATGATTTTAGGGGATAATGAAAGTAAATGCTCTAGGTGATAATAAAGTCATGATAAATGATAATAATATTTTTGTAATTTCAGGCCACAATGAGATGGCAAATTTACAGGAGAAGATTATCTTTTTTAATTATAACAACATGATAATACATGTAATAAGTACATTTTATTTAATCATTTTTGATAACTGTGGATTTAGCATCAATTTTGTTTCAAATATATAGAGGATATTGAATGAGTGTAAGTTCAATACTGAATTTATTGCACGAGTTGAATAAAATTATATTATGCGAGCCTTTTTTCATTGACTCGCCTATAGTATAACGCTAACATTTAACGCGTCTTTACACAATGTTTGTGTAACGCTAATGATGTCACGTCAAAATATATGCACAGTCGTGCAATACCATATTTACGGAGTCGCAAAATCTGGGTGTATGATGATAAGAAATATATACTGAAGTGACAAGTTTTTATTTCGTTTTGTTATTTTATAAATAATTTGTGCTTAATAAGTGTTATTTTTTAAATCACTTGTGGCGAATCAATGTTCCTGTGGCGAATCAATGTTATATTATAAATCATTTGTGGTGAATCAATGTTATTCTATGAATCACTTGTGGCGAATCAATGTTATTTTATGAATAACTTGTGGTGAATCAATGTAATATTATGAATAACTTGTGGGGAATCAATTTTATTTTATGAATAGCTTGTGGCGAATCAATGTTATTTTATGAATAACTTGTGGCGAATCAATGTAAAAAAAATATGAATAACTTGTGGTGAATCAATGTTTATTTTAGGAATAACTTGTGGCAAATCAATGTTATTGTATGAATCACTTGTGGTGAATCAATGTTACATGTATTTTATGAATCACTTGTGGCGAAACAATGTTATTTTATAAATCACTCTTGGTGGAACAACCTTATTTTATGAATCAATTGTGGCAAAACAATGTTATTTTATAAATCACTCTTGGTGGAACAACGTTATTTTATGAATCACTTGTGGCAAAACAATGTTATTTTATAAATCACTCTTGGTGGAACAATGGTATTTTATAAATCACTCTTGGTTGAACAATGTTATTTTATAAATCACTCTTGGTGGAACAATGTTATTTTATAATTCACTCTTAGTGGAACAATGTTATTTTATAAAGCACTCTTAGTGGAACAATGTTATTTTATAAATCACTCTTGGTGGAACAATGTTATTTTATAAATCACTCTAGGTGGAACAATGTTATTTTATAAATCACTCTTGGTGGAACAATGTTATTTTATAAATCACTTTTGGTGGAACAATGTTATTTTATAAATCACTCTTGGTGGAACAATGTTATTTTATAAATCACTCTTGGTGGAACAATGTTATTTTTTGCTCACCTGTCACAAAGTGACAGGGTGAGCTTTTGTGATCGCTTTTCATCCGGCGTCCGTCCGTAAACTTTTGCTTTAAATGACATCTCCTCATAAACCACTGAGCCAATTTCATCCAAACTTCACAGGAATGTTCCTTTGGTGGTCACCTTTAAAAATTGTTCAAAGAATTTAATTCCATGCAGAACTCTGGTTGCCATGGCAACCAAAAGAAAA